GCATGCCAGAATGTTTCCAAAAATACATTTTTATTGAACATTTTGATTTATATGTTGCTCAAAAGAGTATCTGCTCACTTAATTATTTCTGTAAACATAATAACGGTATCATTAACTATTCAAGAGTATTTTCCCTTTTTCAAAGAATATGAGCCTACTTGTAATTAAAGAAATGCTATATTAATGATGTTGAAAGTCTCAAAGGGAAAAATGTAAAGTCCAGCTCATAATATCATACCAGAATTACATGTACAGGAGACTTCTAATAATCTTTGTTTCTTAATTTAGTTTTGATTGGCTGTGAAATACAGAGTAGCACTCAAGGGCTCAAATTTCTTCTATCATCAGCACTTCTGCTCTTTAAACTGTACAAACGCACATGACTTCTGTCTGTAGGCTTCTTTCCAAGTTTGTTTAACCTATGAAGGAAGTTGGCTATAGGCAATAGATAATTGCAGATAATGTCATCATTTTTTTGAGCTGTTGGGATGTTGGATTGTGCTGTGATTGCTAGTTACGACCTAAACATAAGCAGAAAAGTGTATTCTTGTGTTGCCATTTCAGCTGAAAATGACAGTTCATGAAAAAAGATCCACTTGCAGTTTGCAAATTGCAGCTATTGCCACTAGGAGTCTCCTGGTTAGGTTTGTGAAGAATTTGCATGACTAAGACTGGCAAATAGAAAGCAAAGTCGGTGACAAAAGTTAGATTTCAGCAAAGGAAGATAGCCCCTTGAAGAGGCAGCAGGCAGCTGCTGAGCTCCCAGAGCCACGCTACAGCTCCTGCTGTGCCTATTGACCCTGGGGTCAAAGCACCTGCAAATGCCATTGACAGCATGCAGCAGGAATGTGGGAGCTTGCTGTGGAAAAGGATGCTCAGTTTGGGGCTCTCACTCCTGATCATGCTCTTCACTCTAGGTGGCTCCTGGCAGTCACTAGAGCTGACGAATTTTTTAAAAAGAAAGAATTCAGATGCAACCTATACAGTATTTTTGTAGGACAAAAGATAGTTGTGGTCATGGAAAAGATAACATTTGCTTCTTTTTGTAAGTACTGAATTTTGTGAAATTTTAACAAGTGTTTACAATTAAGGAGCTAAAGGATTTCACCAACTGTTATTTATTCCTGGAGATTCAAAGCAGGTAAGTTTTGTAAATTGAAATGCTGCAGTGCCATGAGAACTAGCACCTTCAGGTAGTTAAAATTTTGCTTTGCAAAGTGAATTTTGAAAACAGGAAGTCATTCCTTTCTCTTCTCTCTTCTTCTCTCTCTTTTCTCCCAGGCCAACTAAATCTCACTGTTTTGTGCCAGACACACTGTTACTGATGCTAAATGCTCAAAATTCATGAATTATAGAAACAATGGCCACACTATCCCAAATGCCATGATCATCCAGCACTGTGGCTGACAAATGACAGTCAAGTATCCTTGCAGAAATGCCACTGAAAGCAAACGTGTCAGCTGCCACCACCATACGTGCCTCACTTTAGGGACGCTAGATACTGCTTTAAAATGTACAGGGTAGACAGGAGTTACCAGTCAGCCCTTTCTGCAGGGAAGGAGAATTACCCCTCTGGGAAGGATGCTGTCACCTCCTCCTTACAGACACAACTTTGAGGCCAGAAACGGCAAGTGCTAACTGCTCTAAGCCATTTATTTCTTTATCATTTTTTTCATGCCTCTCTTCTCAAGCAAAATCCTTTCCCAAGCCCTAAAAATCTTCTCTGACTTTAAAAATGATGAAATTTTAAATAACGAATAATTCTGTGGGCTGTGTTGCTTTTTGAGCTTCCCAGTTTCATTTTCAAACTTCTCTTTGCCACCAGAAGGACTATGACAATGAAGACGGTATTTTAAATGAAAGCAGAGAATCTCTCATTATCATAGGACTCCAGGGGTTTGAGGTTTCAGAATAATCTCATGAGTTGTCAATACTGAATGTCACCAGAAACTATAATGTTATTCTCAGAACAGATTGCATAAAAGCAATTGTGGGATAGTTTTCCTGCTGCCTGCTCCCTAGAATACCTACAGATGGCTGTCCTGGAGGGATGTCTCAAAGGTACTTAAGAAGAATGAGCGGCCGCATGCTGGCATTAGCTACCAACTAGACGAGTGTGCTTGCATTTTGTAACAAATCTGCATGTGCCAAAACTTGTTATTTGGTCTATCAGCTAAGCACTGAATGAAAAAAATCAAACATAATGCACTCCTAAGACCACTTAATTGCATGGGAAATATGCAGAAATACATATGAGGCTAATTTTACTATTAACTACCCATCTTGTTTTCTATGTTTGATGCCTTAGTCCCACTGGCAGCCTTCTAAAAAATGCGTCCTTAAAAATATGCTGCCAGGCCCCTACCAGAGATGTGGGCTCTGCTGGGGCAACCCATTCCAGTATAGCCCAGTCTGACTTTTAACTAAGTATCAGGCTTTGCTGATACTTAGATCCTGATCGGAATCCAGAGCCATTCCTCTCATGTCCCCTTCCATTGCGGAGACAAAAATACTTCTTTGTTACATGGTTGCATGCATTGCAGCATATGATTACATTGTACACTGTTGCAGACTCTCACCGTGACACTCTCCCCACTTGCTTTCATTTTATTGTGATCTTTCAAAAGGAGTTAGATGAGATCTCTCAGTCTGGCTGTTGTTTAGTGATCTTATCTATACCATGCCATAATTGACATGGGCTCAACAGATAGTTCCTTACTCAGTGTAATTTGTGGTGAACAGAAAATTTAGGCTGAATGGAGAATGGATATGGCAATGAAACAGAAGATTGATTCAACTTCTTTCTGCTCCAGCAGAAAGTAGGCTTGGCTTTTTGGTATCATTGCTTTTTTGAGAATATCTGAAAGGACTCTTATCTCCAAGGAATAAAGAGAAGGCAGTTGAGCATTAGCCTGATTTGAATAACAAAAAATGGCTACACAGATTTAGTACGCTAATATCCAATATTCACAGCAATAAAACCATACATTTTTATAAGTTTGTTCAGCATTTTGCTGTGCTGGAAAGAAACGTTTAAATCTCTGCCATTTCAAATTCAGGATTTGCTTTAAGTACAAGAGCACGCCTAACAGAAATGCACACTTTTTCCACTGCCCACTTCCTCATAGTATGACAGTGCTATTTTCTTAACTCATTTTCCTAAAAATAAAAATGAACACAAAAATAAAAGATCTGCTCATTAGGAAATGCCAAGGCTCAACCCTACAAATATATAAAACCTTGTTTTGAATGATGTATAAATAGACATAGTACAGATGGACATGAAGCATTTTTTTAGGGAAGGGAGTGCTTTGCTGCTGGATAATACCTCAAGAACATTAACTATTTCTGTCACTTTCATAATGTTTCAAGTAAGTCAGGCCATTACCTATGCATACATGCATGCAGAGTTCAGTATACATTCATACTCAAAGCACATATAAACATTTACCATGTAGCAGTCAGTCCTTCTAAACTCACATAACTAAATACATTATTTCATTGTGGACTCTCTCTTTCTTCCCCTAGCCCCCTTCCTGAATGGAACCATTCCAGTTCTTCCTCTTTTTTCTGTTCCTTTTGTTAGGATTTTGTCAGCCTTCTGGATCTTACAAAACAATGGTGTTCCATCTGTCATCTTAGGTGATTCCCAAACAAACCTTCATCCCATTTTTGCAGGAAAGGGCTTCCTAGGTCCAATGTTTACAGGGTAGTTCTGGCACTATCTTTAGTACTTCATCAAAATATTGTTTTAGTATTTTTAATCATCTTTGTTCCAACTAAAGAGTCAAGTGATAGCCAAGGCATTCAGAAATCTAAAATAATCACTCGGTATGGGAACTGCTGCAATGTTTATCTATACTAAAAGGATGAAGTGAGCAGTGGACTGCCTCAGAAAAACAAGTTTTCTAATTTACTACATACTAGAGTTACTAAATGTCACTGACTGAGAACTCAATTTCATCATTTCAGTTTTTCAGGGAGAAAATACTCATCACAGCTTGGGGAAAAAAAAAAAAAAAAAAAGAAAGAAAACGAAAAGAAAATACTATACAGGGTACATTGCTTTTAAACAGTGGTTGCTAAAAGTTACTTGGACGTTTAGAGTGTCAAAGCTGTGTCAGCAGAGATGGACTAGCAGGCAGAGAGCAAGTGGTGCAGTCAAAGGTTCACAGTGAATGTAATTTATTCACGTAGCTCTGCAATTTATCACGTGGCTATTACCATAATGTACGTGGGAAGCAGCTGTATGCACACACATAATGTCCTAAATGTATGTGTGGTTGGACCTGAACTCCTTATAGAGCAGTAGTGGTTGCAAATGATACCATAAGGCGTTTAAAAGCAAATTTCCTTCCTGTGGGGATTCTGTCACACAGCTATGATGATTTGTACACAGGCAAACAAATGGCTTGTGGACTATTCCCAGCTATGATAAGCTCACCTACCAGAACTCATTGTTTTTTCAAATCTAAATTATCTAGGTAATGTACTATAAATTTCCAGTGCTTTATTAGTACATATAAGTGTTTCTGTGTGTGTGTCTATATATATTATATACATGTATGTTTCTGATACCTGTACGATTATTTACCTCTTATGTGAATAAGTGTATTGTCTTTGGAAATTATGCTGAACTGTACAGGACTGTGATGCTTTCAGGTGATCATATTAGAATCACGTAAGTCTTTCATGATCCAGGTAACTGTGCCTGGTTAGGGGTTAGCACACTAGAAGTTCTACATCGCTGTCTTTTAACTCATTAAAAGTTGACCTAAAGAGACACCAAATTCAGAAAAAGTCAAGTTAGGCTAGGTCCCAATAGGCAGAATATTGCATTGTCCAGTTTAATGTACTGCTGGGCATTTTGTTTACCAGCACATTCAGAACACATAGCATATTTTCCTGGATATTTATATGTGTACTATAGGACATCAATTTTGCAGCCATCTAGCACAAGTATGTTTCTGCTTGTTATGAAAGTGAAAAGCTTGCCTTACCATTGCACAGAAAGTCTCAGGAGGATCTCCACATGTTATATCTGGGGGATCCAGAGTCACTCTTACGTATTTGATCATGTCTCTGGCTTCTGGCTGGCAGGCCATGTAATCCCATACTTTTCCTTCTTCTGTGTAAATTTGGGTCTTACACACGTCATAATGTCCCCACACGGAAGGATAATGCTGCATCACAGAAGATACAGTGACCCAGAGGGCGTGAAGTGACAGAAATCTTGACAAATACATCTCTAAATCCTTTTAGGTCACCTTCGTAAAGATGCTCAGTATTGACGTACGTTCAGTCTATAGATTATAGATATATGTACATATGCATGTATATATTTTATAAAATAGGTTCCAATTCAAACGTGAGGCATTAGGATACAGCGTTTGTTTTACTAAGTTGAAGACTTTGGTAGAAGCCACACAGACCCCAGTGACTGCCTTTCACAACAGTGTAGAGCGAGTCCTTTGTCTTATAACTTATTTGTCAGGGCTTCTTGTAAAAGATGTCCAACAGTAGATAATAATTTGTGAAGTTGAGGGTCTTCAGCTACACTGTCGATAACCCTGAGTGATCCTCCGTGTTCACGGCTCACAGGGGATGCCCAGATGCACTGATAAATCGGTATCTGAAGCAAAGGGGTGAGAGTCTACAGGCTGATGTCTGTTTCCCGTCAATCATTCTTTTCTTCTGGCACCAGCACCCTTTTAGAAACAATAAGAGTTGGAGTTATTGTCCAAGAATCAATGAGTTACAAAACATATTATGTGTTGACATTTTGAAGGTTTTGATGCAGTATAAAGCAAATTGTTATAATATGGATAACCTTTACTGTGGGTGCTGTGCTACAACGGACAAACTACCAAAATCATTCAAAGTGAAAAGTATTTTTGACATGAAGGATTGAACTTTGCTCTGAGAAAGACAGATTTATAATGTTGCAGGTGAATTACGTGTTTCTGCTTCCAAATCTGCATCTTCAGCCTAGCATTGCCCACAGAGCAAACTGCAGAACTTAAACATTGCTTGTGTTTTCTAACCAGGCAGGTGGGGGAGAAGGGAACCAAACACTGCGGCAGAATAACAGGAAGGCTCTCTTATTAAAGAGATGAGTATCAGGGCTACCAGGTGCCAATAGTCTTTTGGCAAGAGGACCTCAGTGAGCTCCAAAAGTCTCGCGCATTTCTTACATTCTTTTTTGGAAGACTAACAAAGATACTGGAAGCACGCTTCCATTTCCTTGAAATTTCTCTTTGGCATTGTTAGAACTTTACTCTTTCTTTTTTCTTTTCTTTAACAGCATTTTGCTGATCATGCTTATAAATTACTAATAGGGATAATAGGTTGTCATTTACTATGCTTTCCCCTTCCAGTCTGGATGTTGTATTTTCCTAGCTTTGGGGGTGGTGTTACCTGTATACTCAATGTTATTTTCATGGCAAATATGTTTATTTCACAGCAGCTACATCCCTTTCCTCCCCTTCAAAGAGTAATTGGAAATTCCCTCTGTTTATTTCACTTCAGTCTTATTATTACACACAGAAAAACCCATGGTGTTATTACTTACATTAAATGACTTAACATTTGTATTTGGTAAAAATACAAAAAACATGTGGGGGAAACTGCAAAGATGGATTAAGTTCTCTAAACATGGACAGGCAAAAACGAGACTGCAAACTCCAACTCATCTCTTTCAGCCTGTGCCTGTTGCCAACCCGTGCCAGCCAAGGACAGGAGCTCAAGAGCTGGCTTCAGTGGCAGAAGAAGCAGACGCTGCAAGAGGAGGATTTTATACAGTCACTATAGCACTTCTGCATCTTTTTTGTCTGGATGACAAAATCTAAGCAAAACCTTCACAAGACATCAGCAACCGTAAGTTATCATATTCTATTGCCCACTTCGCTTATTCCAAAGTTTAGATTATGCTCTGTGCCATGAACTTCATTTACCCAAAAGCCACATAAAGTGGCCTGTGACTTGGTGAACTCTTGAGTGTGTTGTTTTGGTAACACACATTTTCAGAAGTTATCAGTTATCTTCAAAGCTATACACAAATGGCCTCCCTACATTTAAATAATGCTTCATCTTAAACTGAGCTAAACCACAGACAGCATGAAATGCCAACAGATGGTTGAATTGTGTTTCCATAGCAAAGTAATTTACAATAATTGCCGTATGGACGTAAATGCAATTTTCCATTATATTCATCTTATCAAATGTTACTATACAACTCCCGTGTATTTTATCAGAATATGAAGAGAATATCTGAAATTTCATACCATGACAATTCTCAACTAGATCAAGTATATTTGAGCCTCAAATCTGATTTTGATGCAAAAGAAGAAATATCTAAGACTAAATTAAAATTAGATCTTTTTAAAAGTCACATGTTTTAGTACCATAGCTTTAATAGCAACCTTATGTTGCTTTTTGTTTGTTTGTTCTCTCCAGTGGCAATATTTATTTATCATCTTGGATTTCACTAATTCAAAGAACGTTCCCCATGTTCTTTTAAAGACACCCAAGACAACTTTGTATTCTTCATCTGTAGTCCTTTCTAGCTTATTTTTCAGGAGCAAAAAAACTCTAAAAAGTCCCATAGTTTAGCAGAGTCATTATACAGAAATGAAACAACTGCTCTGCTGGAAAAAAAGAAAAAAAAAAGCAGAGCAAAGAGAGAGTCCCTTGACATAACTCAAAACCTACAAGTAATTTCAGTTTTATTTTGACAAATCAAAACATACTCTGTATTGGAGAAGACTTGATCATAGCTGGAATGAACAGTTGGTGAATATCATGTTTCTGTGTAGAAACAAGAAATTACAAGATTTAATTATCCTTAGTCTACAAGCTTGTGTATTAAGAAAAAATATATTTGTTTTCTTTAATATTTTCCTTGCTAGCCCTTCACTTACCAATAACCTTTTATAACTGCTGAGATGCAGATTTACAAATAAAGAGGACTGGATAGGACTGAAATAATGGGAAGCAAGCCGCTACCTTAACATGCTGTTCTAAAATACTTCCCATATAACGAATTCTCATTAAAGTAAGCCAGAGTCATAATGATGGTCGTTACACAGAATTATAGACTATAACATCGATCGAATTTAGTGCACTGACAAGAAAAAAGTGCAGAGGAGTGCAAGACATCTGAGTATTAGACAGATGTAGAACTGTATAACAGACCTCCCTGACAAGAAGCAGCCAATTATAGCTTAAAATTCTGGCATATAACCAGTTCTGATTAATAGTTTTCCATTACATTACAGACATATTATTAATATATTAAAAATGTCAAGCTTTGGCAAGAACTAATACAAAATGGCTCAGTTAGTCTGCAATATCTTCTTTTAATGAGCTTCCATTGATACAGAGAAAGATATTGACCAAAGCACATTAAGGATCATATGCTAAGCGCTATACAGATTTTTCTAACAGAGCTATACAGTTTGTCTTGCTTATATTTATTCCTGCAGAGTCACTGCATTCCACATGTCAGCGAGTTCTAAAAACAACTGAATTGTTTTGTGAAAAACAAATAGAATAACAGTTCTTAAGTTTTTAAGTGCACCAGCCGTGTAGCTCTAAGCCTCTAGCTTGGGTAACAAAGCAAGAGTTTTTACAACCCCTCTCAAGTAATAGGTATACATTCAACCTCACAAGAAGCAATCAAACAAATCAGGAATAACCAGTATATGGCAGCTCGACCTTCTGCACCTGCAGTTCCCTGTCTGCCAGCACAGTGCAGGGGCCCATGGGGCTGACACAAGTATTGGCAGAGGGCAAGGCAGCGGCTTGCCGCAGGACAGCTACCGCATTCCAACCTCAGGGGCACAGCGCTTCTGGAGGGAGCCCTGTGGGGCATTGGGAGGGTGAACAGCTGAGAATTTAGGGCCTTGAGTTTTTGCACCATAGTCTCTACAATAAAAAAATAATAATAATAAACAAAACAAAAAACAAACAAACAAAAAACAAACAAAAACAGCTGCCCCAGGCATCTGGGTACAAACCCCATTTCCTCTGTCTGCCTTCCCCCAGAGCACCTCTCTGTAGGTAAAGAGGAGGACATTTAAGCAGCAGCAATGTGCAGATCCACTGCATCCCACGCTGAAGGAAGGCAAATGGCTGACCTCAGTCTAAAATTAGCTGTGAAGGTGCCCGTGCACCCTCTTCCCAGGTGGGTGAGGCTGCCACTCAAGCCTCCCACAGCATTTCAGTTTTGCAGCCTGAGCAGATGCCCCCTTCTCCACACCCCCGATGAACTGCATCTTCACAAGAGTAGTGCTGGTGAAGAACTTGAGCTCTTGTCAGGGGCTGCTAGCAAACGCGCCTCCCCTGCCTCCTTCCATTGCAGAAAATCCATTAGTGGCCCCAAATAATCCTCTCTGCACAAAGACACCAGCTGGAAGCTCGGCAGCCCCTCTCCTGCGGCACGTCTCTGCTGAAAAGTTGCTGTGCAGATGTTGCAGGGTACTTCCTGGTTCTTCAATTCTCATGTACAGTGGTACGTGAAGAATGCAATAAAATAACAGAATGGCTTCTCAAAAAGCCCAAGTATTCAATAAAATGTGCACTGCCACTATGCAAGAGCAAGAGCCAAACTCGGTTATTACAAAGCATGCCAGTGTGAGGTAAGCAGGTTAAAATCCTTCCTGGATGCAGGAGATGCTGGCTGACAATGCAGGAGTCTGAAGATTCTTTTTTCCAAAGGAAAAACTTGGCATTTCTACCAGCTTGTATCCCTGCAGGAAGTTTGCTGCGGCTTCAGCAGAGGAACGTATCTAACGAAGCCCAAGCAAAAAGATTCTTCGTGCCCACTCTGATTGTTAGTTACTTCAAGCTAGTTCAGGATTTAGAAAATAGTGTGTACTACCTAACAGCACTAATCCTTGTACCTACAAGTCACAGTGTTTAATAGAAGCAGAGCAGTTTTACCTTGCCGCATATAGGAAATGCAAGTGCTTAGTACCTATAAAGCTCCAGTATTAAACATAATAAACTCAGCCCCTTTTCTCAGTGCAGAATTATTTATCTATGCAAGGCAAAAGGGAACCTATGCTTAGTAATTCACTGTACCCTTATCACCACACCTGGATAAAATGAAATATACTCCAAATGATTCCTATAGTGTCTGTGGACTTGCACATTGCTCAAACAAAGTTTCTCTCCTATTTTTATCTGGCTTATTCAACTATCTGGCAGAAAAAGATTTCTTTGTCTCAGGAGAAATTTAAAGTACCAATAACTATTGAATGAGGAGAACAAAATACAGAGTTCTGCTACCAGAGCTGGGTTTTGGCACTGTATTGAAACTGCTCTTGGTTGTCCCACATCACTCTTTGCTGAGTGTCACTTAGCTGCACTGCTGCCGTTGCTCGCAGGGTATCATCAGTACTCAGTATAAGGAGCACAAGCACTCCTGATTTAAATTTTAAAGCCTTTGTGTGTAGCTGCTTTAAGGTTTTCCTTTTATAACTTTTTCCATCTTATAACTTTTAAGGCTTATTGCCTTAAGTATCTCTGTACTTAGAGTCAGCTCGTTCTGCACATTTTTCCTTGTAGAACTACAGCAAGCATTTGGGGTGGCTGCGCTTTGGGTTGTTACTTTTTATCCAGCCAGGTACCAGGTGCTCTTAAGCAGCAGGATGTGGGCACAGAGCTGCCAAGTCTCCCATTGCTGGTGTGAGCTGATGACTTTCCTGCCTGATGGAATCCTAAGCTCTTAATGCCACGGAGGAACAAACCCAGGAGGCTGGCAGTCCCTGACTTTATTCTGTGCTATACTAGATCTTACATACGTAGCTAGAAAGTTGGTGTCGCTTCTTAGCAGTGTCAAGGGCTTGGGAGTGGGTGGCAAAGTCCACGGGTCTACTAGAACATTGCTGCTAATTGCTGGCAGCTCTCTGGTGAACATCCTGCAAGGCTCCGAAAAGATGCTGGAAATCGACCTTTATTTTTATCCAAATCCAAAAAACATCAAACCCACCAAAAACCGAACTGGGGAAAGTTCTGCCGGGCTTTTTCTCCTTTTGATGGGTTGCCCAGGCCACCTCTTCCCATTCCAAAGCACACTGTCCTTAAGTGAGGTGCTGATTTATTCTCTCGATGAAAGCATCCACACCGGCATCTTTGCCCCCCGGCTCTGCCAGCAAAAGTGAGGCTGGCTCCTGGCTCCTCACATCCACAATATCGAAAAGTTGATTGCAGAGCGATAAAAGTATATTCGGTAAGAGGTCAGAGATGTGCACAGACCAACTCTGAGAGTACAAAAGCATCTGCTTTATCAGATTTAGCTCATCTATGCTGCTCACCGTCATTTGGGGTTTCTTTAAATAATTTTTTGAGAACGGTTAGAAAAATCGCTCTCAACTTCCAGGATGAGTACCGCTCCTCGGCCGGCGCGATAACTCTCCCTGCCGCCTTCCTTTTGTCAAATTTTACTTTCAGTCTTCCTCGCTCCCCGCGCAGGAAAGATCCCGCGGAGGGGCGGAGGGCCGGCAGGCAGTTCCCCTCCCTGCGCGCTCAGCCCGAGCCGCGCCCTACAAAACCCGGCGCTGCGCGGCGCGGACGGAGCTCCGCGGCGGGAGGAGGCACAGAAGAGCGCCGCGCAGGTACCGCCCGGCCCCGCCCCGCCGGCCTCCTCCGCGTTCCGCGCCGCGCGGGCGGCAGGGGGCGCCCGGCCCGCGCCGATCCTCCCTACGGCCCCGCCGGGGCGAGGGGCCACCCCGCTTCACGGCCCCGTGCCGCTTCCCCGTCCCGAAACGTCCGTCCGTCCGTCCCGTCCCGTCGCGTCGCGCCGCGCGGAGCTGCGACGGGCGGTACTCACCGCGCGGGTCGCCCTCGCCTCGACGCGGAGCCGCCGCGGCGCCAGGACGCGCTGGGGCTCCCTCGGCGGCGGCATGGGGGGCCGCGGACGGGCGGGGGCGGCGTCCCTCGAGAAAGTTGCCAGAGATGCTCGGGCTCTGCTCGGAGCGAAGCGGGCGGGAGCCGGCACCGGTCCCCGGCACTTGTCGGCGTTAAAGTTTGTCGGTGCGCGGCGGCGGCGGGCGGCGCGCGTTTGCGGGGCGGACGGGCAGCGGGGCGGGCGGGCTGCAGCCCTGCTCCGGCTGTCGGCGGGGCGGCGGGCGGAGCGTGCAGAGCATCGCCCCGGAGCCGCCGAGGTGCCGCCCAGCGGGGCTCCCCGCCCGCCACCGCCGCTCAGGGCGGGGTTGTCCCCGCTCCGGGCGCCGGCGGCCGCGGCATGGAGTGCGGGGCGAGCCGCGGGCGGGGAGCGCCTGGCCGGAGCCGGGGCGCGGATCTCCGCCGTGCGCCGCCCCGGTACGGCCAAACTTCGGGCGGCGACGGCGTCTCCTCACTTCGGAGCGACCTCCCCGCGACTGCCGGCGAGCGGGGCGGCGGCGCCAGCCTACCCCTCCTCCGGGCCGCCGCCGCGCGGCCCTAGCGCCGCCGCCGCGCCGCCCCCCTCCGCCGCGCTCCCCGCCCCGCCGCCCCCGCGGAGCGCCCGCCGCGGCGGTAGAGCCAGCACCACCTGCCCCGCGGGTGGCCCCCGCTCCGCACGGCCACGCGGCCGCAGGCAGCGGAGCTGCGCTACCGCACTCCCGCAGGAGCAGCCTTTTTTCTCTGTCTTTTCGGCTTCGGTCTCAGAACGCAGGCACGGAGAGGACCGCCTGTGGTTTTGCCGTCCGAAATCGAAGACGGGCGGGCTGACAGCAGAGTCCCGCCGCAGCGGCGCTGGGCTGCGGGGGCAGGGGCAGAGCAGCGGCCCTGCGGGGAGACGGCCCCAAGACAGTGGGTGCCTCCAAGCCGCCGGTCTTTCGGCTGGCCGCAGGCGCGATGTGCCGCCGGTACCGAGAGAGCGTTGTTTCTGCTGCTGTTTTGCTATGACTGTCGTTCCCGTACCTCGTCCAGGAGGACGAGAAAGCTCTGCCTCGGTCCCCGTGAAGTGATCTGTCAACCCGGTTTGCTCCTACATTTTCTCCAGTTCCCTCCTTTAAACGAGCTGTCCGCAGTTCTCCCCTTCAGACCTCTCCAGGCTGACATGCAAACAGCATCTAAACCTACAATCAGTTAAGTCCTCTGCAGGAGTTGTGCCTTCTCCAGGCAGCTACTTGCTTGCTGAACCTAACCGGCTCCAGGGGCCAGCTCCGGGCACTGACACTGGCTGTGGTGTGGAAGCTCAGAGCTGTGCTTTCTGTGTGTGTACTTTGTGCATTAAGAAGCATTAAATGTGTTTATCTGCGTTACAGTGCCATTGTATCCAGCTGATAAAATTCAGAGTTTTGCAATGCCAGGATGTAACCAAATTTAGCAGGGCAAAGGATTTCTGTTAGGTTGAGACTTACTTTATTCAGCTGTGGAATTCAATAGGTGGTGTAGATAATGGCAGGAGCCACCGAGGGGGATGATTTGCCTCTTTCCCCTAATACAGCAAAGTCCAGAAGGCCCATTTCAGCTCCTCACAGCCTCTGTGTGGAGCTCCTCTCTGTGTGGGCAGTGCCACTGCTGTGCTCTTGCCATCACTTTGTTGGCACTCCTGTGGCTGTGCTAGGACAGGTGCTGTGTGCACAGTATTTTTTATGGGAAAGCTAGGAATGGTTGAAGGGGTGGGAAAATCCATCTTCAGAATTCTTCAACCTCCAGAACCGTTCTGATTTACAGCCTCACAGAATTTGTTGCTGAGGGCCAGTGTACATGAATAGGAGATGAAAATGAGTAATTTTGTCTTCCCACTTGAATCTGAAGGATGTCAGGCATCAGGGCCTCCATAGGCTCTTCTATAAAGGAGAGGGGCAGAGTATGATCACAGTCAGAAAAACAGATGATTTCTCTAATTGAAACTAACAGGACAGATGGGTGGCTGTACTGCAAAGCAGAGGAGATGGCACATGCCAAACCAGTGTCCTGATGCAGGAAAGGTTTGGAAGCATTCTGAGACGGCTCTCCACTTTTGTACATGAGACAGGAGAGAAAGCTGCCTTCTTGTGTGTGGACAGCTCTTTGCCTTAAAATAATGCCAGAGGTATTAGTGTGCTCCGTGCTGCTGGAGAGCAGAGTGGAGGATTCTGTATACAGCTGCTCTGTACATTCTGCTGCTTTCCATGCTCCAAATCTCACTAGTTGCATTGGAAGCTTTCTGTCCACTGCACTGAGCCTTGGGCCAGCCTGCAGGAATTGTTGCTTGGCTGTGGGACTGGCTGGCCATAGAGATTAAAGGCTGGACCAGGACATTTGATATGTCAAACATCATTAAATTCTTCTGCTAATGATGTTAGCTTCTTCTATATCAAAGCTGGAGCAGCTGGTTTGAGTGCAGTCAATTCTGGGATTAGATGTGCTGTACTGGTAAAAAAATCATGGCCAGAAATTAAATCTAGTCTAAGATTGTGGCCAAATTTTACAGCCAAATTTGAAGCTCACCAAGAAAATAGGTCTGATTTAAATTCTTTGTTAAAGGCTGTTGCAGATGGAATTCGACAGCTAGAGGAGACTTTCCTGTGTTTCTTTGTGCTTGATAGGACTGTAAGCTTGAGTCAGATGTAGAAGGATGGTGCCTTTATAACCAAATTGAAAATATTCACATGAATCCCTGTGCTGAATTTCTGTCAGCCCCTTTGGTAGCAAATGATAGTTGTTCATCTCTAAAATGGACTGTGAGACCCACTGCCGTAGCATCTTGACAATGGATTTTAGCAGGATTCGAAATGGAGAGTTGATATTTAGACAGGAAGAAATGTTATATAAGGTCTGAGTATATACAAAAGTATAAGGCAATGCAAATCCCACTCCTTGCTTTTCTAGGCTAGAAAATGGCTAAAATTAAGATTAGCTGGTCCGTAAATACTGAAGGATGGAAAGTTACAGCAGTAGGAACACGTTATCTTCAAAGTCCTTCCAGCAATATTTTTTCCTTCTTCCCAGTGATAGCTGGTATTGGCCCCTAACGGAATCAGGGAAATGGATTAATTCTTGATTACCGGCCTGAGCGTGGAAGCTTCTATGCGTGTGAGGATACTACTTGCTACAAGGCATAATTTCTACTAGAAGCAGCATAAATTGCTAGTACAGACGTGTTATCGCTGATTGCAAACTTTCCTGTGAAACAACAGCTGAACTGAGAGTTTAAACCAAGTCTTAAAGCTCATCAAGCTTTGCATCATCTCAAGCTGTGTTTTGGACATTTATTGCATCCCCTCATGTGCCATTACGAATCTTTTATTACCTGCTGTAGTCTGTGTTGACCTCTAATGATGCAGCAGAACTATTTTATTAACGCGTTTCCCCACGACGCAGGCACGCTGCACTGGATAGCAGCAATGCAGTAGCAGGGGTCATGTAAGTGTGCCTAGGAACACACAGAGCAGTGCCTGAAAGCAGCATTTTGGTGCATCTGTGGTCGTGAGTGACTTCTGCAGGGAGGACGTGATTCTGACCTGGGAGCAGAGCTGCAGATGGGGCTGGTGCTCTGGCAGGCTGCAGGGAGCAGGGCAGCAGGTGGGGCTGCTTAGGGCTGGACAGCAGCAGGGAGGTCCCACTCCTTTGGAAAATCACTGTGCCACTTCATGTCCCCTCACTACACGGCTGCTGCCCACTCCGTGTACTGGTCTGCTCTTTGTGTGCGTTGCTTGCAGGTCTCTGACCTTTTTTACAGGCAGCTGGAGGAGGCTGTGTGAAGCAGCAGACAAAGGGTGGTGAGGCAAGGAAAGGAGGAATGCTGGCTTGCCCCTGTTCCTCCCCCGCCACAACCGCTGCACTAAGACAGGGGTAGAAATAGCTGAGCAGTGGCACACTCTTCAAAAAGCTGAGCTGCTCTGCCCACTTTTATTGCTGCTTTGCCGACAGTAGTTTAACCTTCTGTAAAGTCAATTGGTTGGCACAGATTTGAATGTTGATCTGGGCTTGTACCTTTAGTGCCTCCATCAGCTTCATTTCCAGCAGAATGATTGGAAAATTGTATTGAGATAAAAGACAAAATGAAGAGATTCTGCATTTTTGCAGGCAGTGAGACAAATCTTATGTATGGCTGGTGAAGCAGCAAAAACACAGACTTCTCTAAGGCCACTGCTTTAACTTCAACACAGCTTAAGAACAGCGGACAGAGAGGCTACTGACAAGACACCCCTTGCTCTGAAACTTCCATCACTGGGTAGTCTGCAAAAGGTTTTCTCTGAGCAGGATGGATGGCAGGACAGACCAACAATGGCAGCTACATGTTCTGTGTCTAAACTGAGGCTTCCATCCCAGTGCACTACCTTGAGCTGAACCCAGCCAGCAACGTTGGGAAGGATTAATGGAAAAGGCTGGTTGAAGCATGCAGTGTTCTTAGAAGTCCTTCAGCCAGAGTAAGGCAATCTGCATGGCCAGCTGGGAGTATGATGCTGCACTGATGCATGCTACGTAAAGAGATATGCAATTCTGACATCCTATTCCTTCCTTTATTTCCATATGCTTTGATAATGACTTTTTCTCTGTAGAGGGTAAAGAGATATTTTCCAATTGTGTTTCAGGGCTCAGAGCTTCTCTGAATAGGACATCTTGGTTTGAAGTCTTGAAATTGGTTATGTGTGCAATCTGGGAAAGTATCTAATACATGTGATTTTTTATTTGAATCTCATTGTTTGCCAGTGGCAGAATGTGGGGGACTATTACTCCTTTCTTGAGTCTAGAAAACAAAGTTTATCAGGTCTTCTGGGAGAAGCATTTTTGTCATTCACATGCAGTTCAGCAGGGAATGAGGGCCAAGGAATTCCGTGAGTTATGCTATTAAAAACTAGAGCCAATTTTTTGTTATACAAAGAAGTAAGTATTGGACTGGTTGATTCTGAGATGCAGGTAAATTACTGCCTGGATTTCCACTCGCAGAA